AAGAGAGGCCATCTCTTCTCTCCTCTCGTCGAATTACCGGTAGGAAAACTGTGGCAGAGTAGGGCGTGTATTTTTCGGAATCGATGCACTCGCGATTGGTTGGGCGTGAAGCGTTCTGCTTCGGTGCAATGTGACTCACACGGGGATGGTCGTTGGCGGTAGTAAGGAGATCGGAGGATGATGCGGAGAGCAACGGGAGCCGAAAATCAATGAGCCCCCTGACCTGCCGGTGAGACCGCTCGTACAGCTTCCAGTCCCGGACCAGCAACCGCCGTAAGCGCAACATTTCGGGCACTCATGTCTGGCTACATGTCATAACGGGGTTCTCGCACGTATGACTGATGTGCCCTCTTGTCAAACGTAAACAACACAGGTATATCAATGGGTCACTAATAAACTGTAAAATATAGTTTGCCAGTATAATATTTACATTGTGTTTTATAGTATCCTTATTTTTACAATCAACACATCAGAGTGCTGATCTCAATGCTGCAGTGCACTAGACATATTATAATGAACGCATGCTATTTTCCTCCCCCTACCCATCAAGTATCCAATAATCGCGGTGTGTGTTTATTTGTTATCCATAGCCTATGTAGTTGTAATTTTCTCTGTGCATGTTGTGAGTGTAGAGCTGAATTTACAATCAACCTGACCAATGTAAACGCATATTATTTAATTTTGAAATTTTTTTGTGTGGTGTCGAAATTATGTTTGTGTTACCTACCAAATCGTATGTTTTATTAATGACCATAATTGTTTATGTACAAAATGTGTTTACGAATAAACTGTAGTTTGAAGTAGCTGTTGTTTGTTCGCTACATTAATTTTTTTATCACGAGAACAAAACTCAAAGGAGCATAGAGACTAAATCCGTTTTAGTGGAGGATTTTGTAGGCTATAATTCATCTTCAGCAGTGCTATTGTCAACATTATAGTTAATTAAAGGATTACATGTAGTAAACCATGACGCTCAGGAAAATGGATTAGATGGGTATAATATCTTATAGTCAAAGATAACAATAGATGTCACCTGAGGATGGCTCGCATTATTTGCTTTCTTTTTAATTTGCTGTATTTTGTTAAATATTTTATTCTTAAAAATAATTCCATAAATATTATTATAAACATATTTCATTATTTTAATTAAAGTGAAAAATCCAAACGAGTTTATTTTAGTTGTCATATTTCATACAATATAGTTAATAACTACATGTATCTAATATATCTATGATAACGCCCAATAGATAGCGAAATACACTAGTTATTGTCGGCTACTGTGAAGTTTTTAAACTTTCCAAGTTTGTTAATAAAATATAAAATAGGAACACACGTTCGAAAAACTTTGGCATATTTTATTTTGTTTTATAACGTGTATCATTCTTTTTACGTTTTTACCCTGTGGTTGTAAAGTAGGATTACCTTGGAAAACCGCATTATCCTTTCATATTGACGTTCAAATCCTACTTAATATTCTGTAGCAATTCTAAAACATTTTTTATTTATTTATTTTTTTCAAGTATTATATTGAAATAATTTATCATTTAAATAGTACCGTTAAATAGATATTTCATTATAGTTACAATTTCAATACTTTAATGTTCAGAAATTACACTTACAAATATAGATTAATATATTTATTGTTTTATGCTAAATATGAATAAAAAAGTGGAACTCATGGAAAGAAAGCTAATTTTTTTTTAAGAAAATTTACACATTGCTGTTGCAAAATTTTCAATTATTTAGAACCTTTTTATAAATGGTTTTGAGATACACAAATTTTATATTCCCTTTATAGGGCGTTTTAAGGAGGGTATTTGTCCGCGCAGAAGTTTTGAGGGGGTAGTAATTTTTAATAAAGTTAATATAAAAACGTGTTATTATAAATGATAAAGAAGAATGATAACGGTAGCTAAATTGTAAAATTTGTAAGCTGAGGGATAATTCCCCTAGACCCCCTCAACTATGTACTATATACTGGTCTGCTAATGTTTTCTTGTATTACTATTATTTATGTATCTTAGTGATATTGAAGTTACAGATTTTTTAGCAAATGAATATTTTTCAACGACCTATTTAGAACAATTTTGATTTAAAATATTGCGTTTTTCAATGACATCATAAATGTACACATTGTATAAATTTTAAATATAATTTTTTTATTTCAGTAAAGATGACTAGAAATATTTCTATATGACTCTATTAAAGTTGCATTTTTAGTAATATTCAAGATATCTTTTTTTAAATTTTGCTTTAAGTTGTAAAATGAAAAAAAAATGTTAAAATTTTTATTTAAGCAGATTTATACGACTATATTTTGATTAAATAGTTAAAAAAACTTAAATTCAACATATTTTCTTATTAAAAAATATTTTCAGCAGCACCATAATTCGATTCTTTTATATTTTAATCGAACTATACGTAATAGTTTGCCAAATATGTAAGTGAAAGACATGACGAGAAGAAATTTATTTGTTTGGTATAAAAAATTGTTGAGATATTGAGGGGCACAAAATGTTATAATATTTAAAAACCGGTATCATGATTATCGTTTAATATCATATTGTCTGATATTGTAGAGAAATAAATATGCATGGGAAAGGAGTAGGCTGACTAAAGCTAAGGGATATAATTGAAAGAGTTGCTTAAACGTGTAAATACCTCGAGTTGTTAACTGTCTTATGTTTAATTGAGATTATGTTGTCAATTATTATAAGAAAATTAGGTTTTTTATTAAAATTAATTTATATTACATTAAAAGTTAAGTAATAGATTTAATATTTTTCGAATAATTCTTATTTCATGTTGAGTTTATTCAAAACATTGTTCATAAATTAAAGTAATTTGAGTAAAATATTAAGTTTATAAATAATAAAAATGTAACTAGCAAAAAAATTTTTAGAGACCTTTCTGAAAGTAAATGTATTTATTTATTCGAACAAACCTTTTATAAATTATGATAGTTTTGAATTTGATAGATTGTATTGAATATTAATTATATTACACATTGAGCTTAATTAAAAATAAGTCAATTTTAATGATTATGTTAATGAAAATGTAATGAGTTAAATGAAAAAATAATTTAAAAAATGACTTATAAATCATCTATAAATTCGTTTATTTTGAATATTTTTGAATATGTCAACTAAAATTTTTATTAAATTTAATTGTCGTATATGGACAATTTTTAAATACAACAAACATTTTTCCTGGTATATCATGTGGTGACTTTATTGGTTTTACGATAAACTTCCATACGTTTTAGGTAATAATGTTTGTCAACGTAATTCTCTCGTGATAATTGTAACATTTAAGCATGTGAAAATTATTTAGTTTGAACATTTATCGATCTACACATTCGTATTATTACACTTAAAGCTTATACAACGTGCAGTCAACTTCATGCCGATATCTTATTTCTATAGTACCTTCACGATTCAAATCCGATTGTAGAGCACTTGTGCATTACTATCCTTTTGTATGACTAGATTTGTTTAAAATGCGTTGACATATTTGATACTGTTGCTAGGTACAATTATAATTCACGTAATTCCTATTGAAGCACCGGATTAAGAATTAGCATAATAAGAGTCGCTCGTGTATTAAACAAAATTCTGGAAATGATATTATACATGTATGTGTCTGGAGGATATTTTCATTCAAGGTTTTATTCAGCATTTTCTCATAAGTTTTTGAGAGACATACGCTTTAACATTTGTTTAATAGTGATTTATTTAACGTTCACAGTATTAATGTGTGACATAAATTTTATGGAACTACAAAAAATAGCAATTCATTTTCTGTAAATAATTCTAAAACAAAATATGTATCTCTTACTGTGTTTACTTCATTGGGGGCTTACATTTTGTAGTGCAAACTTTTTTTGTAAAAATTATAAGTGTTTTGTAATTCTAGTTTTTTTTTTATGACTGTCGAATACGCGTACACACTAAATCGCTTTTCACCAGTAACATTAAACTGTGAACGTATCCAATAACTCGGATAATATCGTCACTATAAGTTCTCGTAGCAATAACTTAAATAGAATAGTATTACACTTCAAATGGTTAAAACGATTTTATAAATGCTTACTTTAAAATCAATAGCCGAATTGAATAAATACATTAATCGGTCAATATTTTAGCTGTTTATTATCCATAAAAAATAATTATCCGCAGAACTCATTCGTAATCACATAAAATTTACTTTTACAAAATAATATTAAAGTGTTATTGGATATCATATTATAAACTTTGAATAACTGGAGCGCTTTTGGGATAAACCCAAGAGGTAAAATATAAAAAATGGTAATTTGAAGAAGGGAGTAGTTTCAAACGATCTGTCTGAATGTGTAATTGAATACACACCCTGGGTTATTAATTTCAACATTATTTGAGCAAATAAATATTTTATTTATTAAATTGAATCGAATTAAATGAGTTCACAGATTTTTTTTATTCATCAAATTCATTATTAATATATAATTGAAGACCGCAAGGCATTAATTTGCTTTGAATGTATTAAATTCAAAACGAAATTGCATAATTCAATTCGAAATGTATTTTGGAAAGTATAAACTTCCGTTTTAAGTCCAATTATTTTAATTCATTTGACAGCCTTTGAGTTATTTATCTTATCTCTACTAAATCTAGCTATCGCCTGATAAAAATATAGTTTTCACTCGAATTTCATATTAGTTTTTAATGGATTTTGTATGATAAATAGTGTGTATAGTATCAATTTAATTTCATAATACATTTTAACTTTTTTTAATTAAAAAAATGTATTTTTTTTTTCATTTTCAATAAATCAATATGACCTACAATTGACATATTTTCTGTGTGACTAATCACTTTTTTTTAACATTGTTGTTTTTGTAGATCGAGAGTCACGTATGGGACGTGATAGACAGCGCAGACGATGAGGACACGTATGGCCGCGCAATGAACGCGCTCGCGGCTCGGGCGGCGCTGTCAACATTGTACACATCATCGACGTCTACTTTGGCGGCTGACTACCATGCGTGGACAACGGTGGCGGCGACAGCAAAGGCGGCGGAGGTGGCAAACACTACCGAAACACCGTTTTTCGAAACCGAACTCCGGTTTACGGTGTCCCAGATGGTGTTCGTCGCGCTTGTGTCCGGCGCGCTCAGTTGCATCACCGTGGTGGGCAATCTAATGGTTATGCTGTCGTTCAAGATCGACAAACAATTGCAGAATATAAGCAACTACTTCCTGTTTAGCCTCGCGTTGGCCGACTTCTTCATTGGGCTCATATCCATGCCGTTGTTCACCATCTACACCATACTGGGATACTGGCCGTTCGGCCGACACGTGTGCGACGGATGGCTTGCGCTCGACTATCTGGCCAGCAACGCGTCAGTACTCAACCTGCTGTTGATAAGCTTCGACAGGTACTTCTCGGTGACCAGACCACTAACTTACAGAGCTAAGCGGACTAGAGGCAAAGCGTTGCTGTTTATCTGTAAGTAGAAATTAGGGTTGTAAGCCACTGACTGGCTAAACGAAATCTCTGTGCGATGTGAATAATTAACCACTCAGTAATGATCACCGCTCACATAATACACAGTAGTGTTACCACACATGAAGACATTTACAGTGTTGGGCATTTCGTTGTTATCCATTCCTAGTTATATCCATTAAGTGAGTTTATCTGAACATCCACGATTGTCAACATGCTCGTTGGGACGTATTGAGACATACCGCCGACTGTTTGAATTACTTGAGCTTGCCAATGTTGGTAATTACTAGGAACAGTAGAATGTCTTAACTAAACAGCTTATGGGCCATTAAGGAAGTGTCGTTAGGTTGATTAATGAACGAGGGTTTGACAGGCGGCGTGGAGAGTAGAAAAACATAAATCTCCGACGTGTGGGAGGAAGAATAAAGAGAGGACCGAGTGAAAAAGCGGCCTGCCGTTTGCAATATTTTATAAGGTTTTTATTAAACTATGTACTCGGTTGAGTGGTTTAGTGGGTTTTAATTTTTGTTTACCTTTGATTCGAACCGCAATTAACTGTATCGTCGGTTTCAGCTGCCGTATGGTTCATATCACTGTGCTTATGGCCGCCGTGGATTTACCTGTGGCCGATAATAGAAGGCCGACGAACCGTTCCGGAAACGCAATGTTACATACAGTTCATAGTGACCAATCAATACATTACTTTCGGCACGGCCATCGCGGCTTTCTATACACCGGTGACGGTCATGTGCATCGTGTACTATCGCATCTACATGGAGACCAAAAAGAGACAAAAAGACTTGCCAAACTTGCAAGCCATGAATAAGCCGCGCAAGTGAGTGCTTCGTGAAATTTTTTATGATGGAAAAAAAAAAATAGCCGAAAAATGAATATTGTGTTTTTTTCGTCTTCTGTTTATAGTGATCCTCAGCAAGAGGAATCGTGGGCTCGTATTCGGTTGGATCAAGGCAATTCGTTGGATCGTCGAGAAACTTATGAGACCAGCTCGTNTCGAGAGACTTATGAGACCAGCTCGTTGCGAAAAGCTTACTCTCAGTGTTCATTGGTAAATATGTCTATAATTAACTTTAATAACATTTTATAAACTTATTCGAAGGAATTTAATATATAAAATATTAGCGTATATTAATTCGTATGCTATTTTTTAATTTGATGATTCGACTTTTAATTGATCAATGCGGTACAAGTTGATTTAATTTTTTTCATTAAAGATGTAATTTATTATTTACCATATAATTTTTCATCACTCATTAATCTAAATCGATAGTTACATTTACTTTGTTTGATCACAGTTAGGACGGGAAAACATTACAAACAACGTTATAATTATTATGTTTAAAATCAAAAATATTTTTAGAACATCAAATACCAAAGAACTATGTGATTACGATAAACGTAAAGTATCGTTTAACATAAAAATTGCATAACGTTAATAATTAAGCTCAATTATTAGATAATGTTATAATCATAGACGGAACTAGATATTTTTATGATACTAGGCATCTTGAAACATATCTTTTTGGTTTGCTTCAGTTTTTTTCATGATTGAAAAACATGGGCAGAATTAGAGATGGGTTTTGTGAGCGAAGTCTCTTCAAAAATAAAATTAGCCCCTTCCGAAAATTATAAAAATGATACCTAACGTTACTTGTATAAAAATATTTTTTAAGGTGAAATTATAAGAAGTCTCCGAAGATTTTTTCCTACGGGGAAATATATTCCTATGGGGAATATATATGGCAGAGAGATTTCTATTATCTCATGTATTTTAAGTATAACCGTATCTCTGAAATATAAGCATTTTCATTTTTGGTGATTTTGATCTTTATTCCGCCTAGGTAGCCCTGGCACTTATACCAAAATAACATAGAGAAATTGTGATGCAGTTATACATCGATTTGTTATATGACTGTGAAAGGAGTTATTTACACAGACAGCAATTAAATTTTTAATCATTAAAATTATTTTAATAATCTAAAGTTTTTTAATAATAAAGATTACAAAAATATAAAAATTGATTAATTGTAGCTAATATTGTTTAAAATATATTTAATATAATAATTTAAAAATAAAAAATATTAAACTCAAAAAACTACGAATTACCAACAATATCACGTACATGTATTTTGGCAACAATGATTCCATTATTATATTATGATTTTACATATATTTTTTATTATAAATATAAGATTTCAATGATAAATTAAAATTAAGGACCTCATAAGCCTGGGCCATGGCCCTGTAGACCTAGGCAGTAGTTCCGCCTATGGTCACAATATGTTAAATGTAATATAAACGTTAATACTATATGATTGTGGAAACTTAACTTGGTATTGATTTAAAAAAATCTATTTCGTAGAATAATTACCAGTACAAAGCCGTTTATTTTCTAAGTAGAATGAATAATGTTTAAATTTTGTTTTCGAAGCTAGTGAATATTTTTGATGACTTTTGCAGAAAGCTAGACGACTGTTGACTTGGTCTTGGCTTCGCGACTGGTGTGTGGACTGGTGGCACTCAGGTCGGGATGATGACTATGACGAGGAAGACGATCAAACCCCTAGCGACGTGCCAGGTGGCACCAGCTATGGGACTACGGTGTCCAGGTCGACTTCCCTAAACGTCATTCATCAACAACCCACTACACCACCACCGCTTAAGTCTTATCACGCGGTCAACAACAACAACAGGTTGGCTAATAGGTCGTTGTCTAATGACTCGGTGAGTGAGTTGCTCCGAATGAGTTTTATTAATTAGATATATTAGATTATACTTAAATTGCCGGGGTCATCCCTAAAAAGAAGTGGGGTAATTTCAGTCTCTCTTCTTCGTAATTTTAGTTTAAGACGGCCCCGTCAATCATAAAATATATTTTAATACCTTTCCCCAAAAATGATCAAACTGTACTAGATATACGATTAGTGTAATATTAATAGGACGGAGCGCTTTAACATAATTTTAATCGTGATGAAAATATAACTAATACATTCACTAAACATAATTAACTAGTTTGAATAATAACAACACGTTCTAATTAACTGGGATTAATCAAAGAC